GTAAAATTGGCATTTGCTTTCATCGACATAAAGTTAATTTTCTGACAAAAATCCATGGTGGTTTAGGACTCTGATAGTTTTATGTACACTTGGTATTTGGTAACCTTCAGCACTCGGGGAAAAGGAGGTGAATGTTCAGTACTGAGCTCTCTTACATTTATTTGTGAATTGGGAGTAACACTCCAACACCAGGCTCCCATGGATGTGTAATAATGAGCTTGATTTACATGTGATGGCTGTGTTTAAGATGTTACCTAGTGCTTTCTCTTTCCTTGGATCTCTTGCAACTTTATTTTTGTTAGAACAGTTCCTCTGCACATGCTCCCTGAGCTGTGGTGCTGAAACCAACATTTTGTGGTCCTGTGGTGGAACATGCCATGTAATTTCTACCGTGTATTACCTGGACAAGTGTCCAACATGCCAGGATTTCTAAAAGTGCATTACACAATTACAGGGAGTAAGTGATGAGTAAAATGGTGCCCATTGCTTCATCTTTCAGAACAGCAAGACAGATTTATGGAAGGGGAAGAAACAAAACTTCTAAGGAAAAGAGAGTGGGAACTAACTCAGAAAACAGCGACAGGAGCCTGGAGGTTTAGTTCCCTGAAATGGCGAGCTTTTCAAACCTCCTTTCAGATTTTTTGTTCCATAGTGACCTTGACTATAGGATCAATGATTTGTACCTGAAGTAACACTGAGGCACTAGTTCAGCCTAGGAGGAGTTTGGGACATTAGAGGACAAGCTGGTTTTCTGTCCAGGAGGTCTGTACGCTCTTTCCTTACATCAAGTTTTCCACACTTTGCTTTGAAGGGCAGCTTTGTGCACATGTATCTGTCTCAGCTTTTTGAGTCTGGGCTTCAATAGCTGATGTGTGAACTTCCTAGAGCAAGCCCTGGGAATACTCAAGACAGCTACCTGATCCCATTAGATTGTCTTTTGTCATTTCTGAAGCACAGATTTCATCATTCCACTCCATCTTGACCTTAGTGGGATGAGTTAGAGTCTGAGAATTGCTGCTGTTTGTTTTGGGTTTTTTTTTTTTAAGACCGCTTTCCATTAATTCTGTATTACCTTGCTTTTACGAGTTTAAATCTTAAAGCTGTACTTAGAGTGCCAAAGAAGGTTTAGCCACACAATTGCCATTTGACATGGGAAATTGAACAGCTAAGCCCCTGCATATATGCAATAGCCTGTACACTGCTGGGTAGATTGTATAATTGTTCTTCATACATTAAGCAACCAAGTGCTGATTTGTGTACATATGTAGGTTCATCCTTTACCAATTTCCTGTGACTGATAGTTTCCAGGAGATAAAAAGAATAGCTGGTTCCTGTTTTTTCTCTTCTCTTTATTTTTGTCCTTTAGCTAGAATATTTTTGTGTGTGTGTGTGTGTTTAGTAGCATTCATTCCCTAGAGAATAATCTCAGTCCTTGTTTTAGCTGGCCTCCTTCTGAGAGTGTGTTAAATCTGTAGCCAAGATCACAAGCAGCTCTGGGCAAATCATTGGGCTGTTATTAACCTGCCTCCATGGCAACTGCTGCTCGCCAGCCTGAGGACAAAAAATGTTTTTATTCTGCTGAGTTGCACAAAAGGTTCTAGTGATGCCTTGCACAAAATGGCCATTGAAAGGGGAGATGCAGTGATGTGTGTTTGTGCTGTACTGTTTCATATTTAAATCGTTTTACACTCCTATGTTGGAAGTAGATACACAGCTGAAAAGTACAGTGTGTTGGCCATACAGAATTTAAAAACTAGCAGAAAACTGGAACTAAACTTCTTAAAATACTACTTATTTTTGTCACCTTGAGTTTGCAGGCCTTCAGCCTGCAGTTGTCATCAGTGCGTTGGCAAGTCACTTTGTGAGCATGAACTAGGCAAACATCATCATGGGTTTTCAGTTGTGCTGTATGAAGATCCTTGCTGACTTGAGGTTACAGAGAGAAACCATAAAGCAGGTTGCCTGGAAAGCTTTCATTTTTTGAAGGAATCCTCTGATTTGCTTCAGTGCTGGTTTGAGAAGCTTGGTAAGCGTATCCTAGTGCTTGAGGAGCTGCAAATGTTATCTGGTTTTGAAAGCTGCTCCTGGCAGTACTGTTTTAGGCTTGCTTCAAAATAAAATTACAAAACTAGCTATATTGCTCAGGCTAGGCATGGATTTAAGCTCCTTTTAAAGAGTGTTCACAGTGGGATCTGTGGAGGGTCTGGCAGCCCCAGTGCCATGCTGAGGTTGCATCCTGCAGTTAGTTACCCTTTGGCAGGAGGCTGTGCAGCTCTGCTGTCAATTTGGGTGTAGAATGACTATGTGTCATCCACTATGTGGATACTGTCCCTGGGAAATGTGCAGGTTTGTGGTGCTTCCTCTGCTTGCAAGCTGGTAGCGTGCAATTTCCCTGGGCACTGAAGATCCTCTGCTTCCTGCTTTAGTCTCGCTGTGAGGGCAAGTAGTTTCTGCAGTCCCACATTTGGGCAGTTTGCTTTGCTTTGCTCAAAATAGTGTGGTTGCTTTAGAGACCTCTTAAGGCATCTGTTGGCCTTGGTCTGCACTGATAAAATGAAGGCCACCCAAATATTGTGATGCCTTTTAACTGGGGCTGTAGGGGAAGATATAAAGAGTATGGCCACAAAGATGCTGTGTGCAGCTGCTGGTCACTGGGAGGTGAGAGGGGATTTGCCAGCATCAGCTTGTGTTTGAGGGTCTGTGGGTTAGTGGCAGATATTGCCGTGTGTTTGGGTAAGGGATCCAACAAGCTCTCCAGGGCGAATGTTCTGCTGGTGGCCTGGGAAACCAGCTGTGCAGTAAGGAGTACCAGGAGGACAGGTACCTAGTTGGGGGGTGTTAATAGTCAGTCTTGGATCTACACCAGTTCTTAGTTTTGTCAAGCAGGTTGCCCCCATTTTCTGAAATTGGCAGCTTTTCTTTCAGACCTCAGCAGACCCTTGGCTTTGCTTCCAGCTGTTTTTGTTTCCTGTCTTGGATGGGATCCTTTTGCAAAGCAATCTGTGGATCGGCACGATTAGGTGATCAACCTCCTCCACACTGAGCAATGATCTCGAAGTCACCTTCTCCTTTAAGAGAAGCCCGAAAGGCTGTTCATTTTGTGCTGGGCTGTGGCCACATGTGTGTTGAGCATTGCCTGCTAGATCTGAGCGTGGTTATTCTTGGATAATCCTTTGCTGCTAATCCTGCACCAGGTGCAGGCATTTCTTGGATTAACTCTCGGAGGTTTGGGCCTGACTCGGGAGCAGATGCTGCAGAGGTAGGTGAGCCAGTCTCACGTGTATGACGGCCGTTGCGTCTGGCTGATGAGCTACACTCAGGCAGATTCCTCAAAGCAGAGGATTGCTCTTCAAGGTCTGGTGTCTGAACTCAACTCTGGACCTCTGTGATGAGATGAAAACCAGAGATTATTTCCTCTGATAGTGTGGGGCATTTTAGTTTGCCCCATCACTGCTAAACAGCAGTCTTTGTTCATTCGGCAGTGTTTTTGTCATAAAGATAGTTCCTACTGACTGGACTCTAGCTGTGGGCTTGACTATAAAAGCTTCCCAGGCTTGTTTCCGTGCGATTAAATCTTGTCTGCAGTTAGCAAAGTGGTGTTTCAGAAGTCATTTCGGTGGTGATAGCTGCTTAAGCCTGACTGGGACACTTGCTAGTGACTCCTAAAAGGAGAGTTTCCCACTTATGGAATGGGAAAGCTTTGAATTATTGGATGCGTATTATCCCCCAGTACTTTGTGGAAGTGTCTGCTCTGCAACTCATTCATTAGTGGGAAAGGGAGGGCAATAAAAATAAACTTGCCTCATGTGGTGGAAGGAGACTTGCTGATCTTAAGTAGTTTTTGGGGCGGGAAGATGTGATGTGATGTACGCGCTCACCAGCTGTCTCCTTGCCTTCAAATGTTTTGTCCATTTAGTGCCTTCCTGCAGAAGCAACGGGCTGCTCCTGCAACGTGCAATGCTGGTCGCTCCATTAAGCATTGTCTTAATGGCTTGTGTTTTACGCAGTTGTATGAAATGCACATTAATGGAGAAAGCTTAATGCCATCACCCTGCAGTAACGAATTGGTATGGATTGCCATTACCATTATAGTGCAGTTAAAAGCTGTGTTTGTTTCCGACTTACATTTCCCAGCTCTGCAAGCAGATGGGTTTTTAGGCCGCGCAGTTGGGAGGAACCTAGCAATTCAGCTGCAACCTCCTTATTACAGTGTTCGTAGAGCAGCAGTTCTGGGGGGGTGTTTTGTTAACTCAGACTGCTTAAACGATACATTTCATTAAAATGATGATTATGCTACTGCAGACTGTATTCAGGGATCACTGTAAATCCAGTGTATCCTATAAATCTGGCAATGTATTGTCCATGTGATACAGCTTCATCTCACTGCTCTCGATAAAAATTGCTACTCCTTCACCCCCATTCAGTTTTCCTGTTGTTAAAACATCTGTAACCTTATATGGATTTATACAAAAAGATGCTCAGGAGCCACGGGAGAGTATATAGTAGTTAAGTTTTGCAGAGCTAAACGTGTTCCTCTTCTAATGAAGATGCAAAGTATCTTTTTACTTTTCCAAAAGGCCTCATTGTTTTGAGTATTTGCTCCTCCGGCTTTCTCAAAGGTGCCAGCATAGCTGGTGCACCTGCCGTGCAAACGCAGTGAGCCCTGTATGAGCAGCTGATCGCAATGGATCACTTCAAACAAGTGATTTTTTTTTTTTTCTTTTTCCATTTCATAGGCTGTCTCATCGATCTCCTCTTGATTCTGTAAAGATAGGGGCACCCAGCCTGCTTTCTGGGCTTTGAGTCCTTACCAACAGATCTGTAGGTCACTGCTTTAGAGGGTGATGCTGTCTTGCACCACCTATAGATTTTTGCTTAGCATGTCAATACTTGAGCCTTTTAGTCCCTATGGCTTTTACCAAGTGGAGGACAGATATCTTTTCCTCATAATTTGCTTTTTTGCTCATAATGGGTTTTTCTGCTTTCTCTTTTCTGCTTAGGTTGCTTTGAATGTTGCATTAAGTGCCTAGGAGGAGTGCCATATGCTTCGCTCGTGGCAACCATTCTCTGCTTCTCGGGGGTAGCATTGTTTTGTGGCTGTGGCCATGTGGCGCTCACAGGGACCGTGTCTATCCTCGAGCAGCACTTCTCCACGACTGCCAGCGACCATGCTTTGCTGAGTGAAGTGTAAGTATGGCTCCCATTTCCATTATTCCTCATAACATACTCATGCTAAATGAGTAGAGATGGATTCAAACCTCAGTCTCCATCTCTGAGTATTAAGTTGCTTGTTTGTCCAACAGCCCTCAGAGTTTTTGTGGTGTTCATGCACAAAGAACCAGACTGTGTATCCTGCTTAACCTGTTTATATTGGGAACAGTACTCTTTAATATCTTCATCAGGGCTATAGACAGTGGGGCTGAGTGCACCCTCAGCATGTTTGCAGATGACACAAAGCTGAGTGGTGCAGTAGATACACATGAGGGAAGGGATGCCATCCAGAGGGACCTTGTCAGCCTTTGAGGAGTGGACCCCTGCAAACCTCATGAGGTTCAACAAGGCCAGGTGCAAGGTCCTGCACCCAGGTTGGGGCAATCCCCAGTATCAATACAGACTGGGGATGAAGGGATTGAGAGCAGCCCTGCGGAGAAGGACTTGGGGGGGCTGGTGGGTGAAAAGCTGGACATGAGCTGGCAATGTGCGCTTGCAGCCCAGAAGGCCAATAACCGTATCCTGGGCTGCATCAAAAGCAGCGTGGTCAGCAGGTCAAGGGAAGTGATTGTGCCCCTCTACTCTGGTGAGACCCCACCTGCAGCACTGTGTCCAGCTCTGGAGTCCTCAGCACAGGAAAGACATGGACCTGTTGGAGTGGGTCCAGAGGAGGGCCACAAAAATGATCAGAGGGCTGGAGCACCTCTCCTGTGAGGAAGAGTTGGGGCTGTTCAGCCTGGAGAAAAGGCAGCTCTGGGCTGACCTTATTGTGGCCTTTCAATATGTCACATGGGTTTAAAAGAAAGATGGAGACAGGCTTTTCAGCAGGGCCTGTGGTGGCAGAACAAGGGGCAACAATTTTAATGTGAAAGGGTAGATTAGTGTTTGTTGGTGACACAAAGTTTGAAGGAATGACAGGGAAGTGGTGTTCTGTCCATCCTCCCTGAGAAAGGGGATTGTACAAGTGAGAAAAATGGAGAGAAAAGACTGGAAGGAGCTTTACTGTTTGTCTCTGCAACTGCAGCCTTTGTAGAGAACCACCAGTGAAATATTCGGGGCTTTAGTGTTCCCGAGGCTTCTCTGTGACACCAGAAGAAGGAGGTGTCACGGAGAAGGTGTCCTGGAGGTCTGTCGGGAGGCACGCTCAGCCCCACTGGCACAAGCCTCTCGTTCCCCTTGATGCTGAGGGACGCGTGGGTCCCAGGCTCTGGGCTGGTGGT